AGTTATACTAAGGATTCTGTATGAGGCTTTCTGCTCCTGTAAAGGTTTACAGCCTTGGATACTCTCTACAAGGTTGCTATTGAGTCGGAACTGACTCAATGCCGCCACAGAACAACAAGGATTCTGGATGGTCTGGTAGAGTAAGAGGCCCATGGAGGGGGTTAGGAGGACAGAACCCTAGTGACACCATTATTTCCACCTCTACCACGCATCCACACCACATTTAGTTGCTGTTTTAAAATGCCACCAGATTGGTTCTAACTCATAGCAACCCTGTATAGGGTTTCCAGGGAGTAGCTGAGGGCTTTAACCGCCAACCTTATGGTTAGCAGTCCAGTGCTTACCCTACAGCACCAACTAGGACTCCAAGAGCTTAATATATACAGTTATCTAAAAGAAACCAATATTATGTTCTGGTTTGACTTATAAACCTACTGCAGGAAGAGGGAGGAGATGTTATCAGTCAAGGGCAGAAGTACACATCTCCCCCGGTTCTTAGAAAGCAAGTTTATTTCACGTACTTTATAAGACTTGAAAATCAAAGCTCAGTGAGATTAAGAAATTTGCCCACAAAAAAAGAAAGTGCTGAAGTTGGGAGCAAGGGACCCAGGACCCCAGATCCTGTACTTTGTTATACTTTTTAGTCCTGGTGTGTTTCTGTATACCAATCAATGTTTAAAATCCTCAAAACATAACAAAACTTTATGGCAAAAGTTAAAAGACAAATTACAGTCTGGGAAGAAATGTCTGATAAGATAGACAAAATACAAAAGGCTCTTAACAAGCCGTAAAAAACACCACCAGAGAAAGATTGGGACAAGAGATGAACAGGCAGTAAACAGGGGGAAAAATGCCTAACAGATGAAAAACGATTTCACTAGTACTTATAGATAAGTATATGAAGCAAAATATCAAATTAAACAATAAAATATAAGAGTGGCATACACAATAAACAAAAACCGAGACAAGGATTGACAAACTCAAATTCAAAGTTGACATACCGCAAAAACAGCGGATTCCTGTAAGGTGGAGCTCAGATATGCGTCCACTTTTCGCCCTTCTTCGTCCTGTTCTGACACCAACCCTCCCTCTCACTGCACACGCTCCTTCTCTGCTAAGTCTGATCATCTGTTACAGTGGCCACACAGAATTCACAGATTGCACTCATGATTATGGGGGTTATTATGGAAGATAATAGTGCGATTCAGAAACTACTTAGGATTCAACAATTGTCTTGTCAGAAATGCCTCTCAGGCAGCCCCTTGACCTCTGCCCTGCCCAGCAAATGTTACAAGCTCCTTTAGTTGTGCTGGTAAATGCCCAGGGGGCACCCAATTTTGCAAACCAGCTTCCTTCCCAAAGACAACTTTTTACTGGTTCTGTGGATTGGGAGGCCCACTGTTCTGTCTCTAAGCCACTGCCTCTGCTGTCAACTCTACCGAACACCTCTTCTTCCCACAGGGACCTCATGGGTCAAAGAAGGAACTCTGCTCAACCTTTTCTTTCATGGTGGTCTTAAGAGGCTTTCTGACATGGCAAACCTAGCCAATCCCTACATTAGAACCCGAATACCCTATTTGCGTGGTCCCACCCAATCATTGGTGGTTGCTGGAAGATAAACACTTGACTGCTAACCACATGGTTAGCAGTTCACACCACCAGCCGTTCCTCGAAAACCCTATACAGAGTTGCTATGAGTTGGAACCAACTCCACAGCACTTAACAACAATCCAATCATTTGGAGAGAGCTACAAAGGTTTGTTAAGGAGTGTCAGAGAAAAAGAGGAAGACCCCCAGCGAGATGGATTGGCAAAGTGGCAGCATCAATGGGCTCAAGCGTGGCATAGAGTCGCTATGAGTCGGTACTGACCCAATGGCACCTAGCAACAACAACAACAAAGGCCATGGTAGAGTGGTAGAGGAGCCGTAATTCACTGCATGACACCACACACACCTTTTAAAGGGCAATTTAGCAATGTCAACAATTTTGATATCTTGTGTGGCTCAAGTGGTATATGTTCAATTACTTACTAATCCAAAAGTTGTTCGGACCCCATTCCCCCCCCACCTCACCCCCGGTGGTACCATGCAAGAAAGACTTGGCTATCTGCTTCCATGAAAATTATAACCACAGCCAAGAAAACTTAATGGAGCAGTTCTACTGGAACACATGGGCTTACAATAAGTTTGAATCGGCTTCAAGGCAATAGGGTTGCTTTTTTGTGTGTGTCGACAATTTTAATGTAGCTACTCTTTGACCTGGTGTGGCGCTACAGGATTATGTGCTGGACCACAAGGTTGGTTTCAACTGCAAGGTTGGCTGTTCAAACTCACCAGCTACTCCTCAGAAACCCTATACAGGGTCACTGTGTGTCAGAACCGAGTCCATGGCAACTATCAACAGCAACAGCTCTTTGACCTACCACCTTTAGGAATGCATGATGCTGATCACGCTGTACACCTCCAACATGTACAGAGATACACATGCAAAGATGTTCATTGAAGTGTGTTGTTGATACATGATGGCAACAGTGGAAACAGCCCAAATGTCTGTCATTGGGGTGTGATTGCTTTTGTCTTAAGTACCATTGAGTTGATTCAATTCATAGCGATCCTTGATAGGGTTTCTGAGGAGCAACTGTTGGGTTTGAACCATCAACCTTGTGGTTAGCAATCCAGTGCTAATTAGATAAAATATGGGTCATCCCAACAATAAAGACTGCTGAGCAGACCTTAAAGAGGAGCTATCTATGACCTGTCCTTGTTGTTGTTGTTGTTGTTGTTGTTGTTATGTGCCATGGAGTTGGTTCCGACTCATAGCGACCCTGCACAGGGTTTCTGAGGTTGTTAATCTTTACGGGAGCAGAACGCCTCATCTTTCTCCCGCGGAACCGCCGGTAGTTTCGAACTGCTGACCTTACGGTACGCAGCCCAATTCGTAACCACTACACTACCAGAGCTCCTTACGACCTATCCTTAGAGGAAGAAAAGAAATTTCAAAATGGCATAAATAATATAGAGCTGCCATCTTTGTAGCAAGCTCTCCTATGTGTATACACTTCATTTTGGAGGGGCTGGGAATGGGGAGCTGGGCAGAACTGTGTCATAGGTGCTACAGTGCAGAGCAAACACTACAAGTTCACTGTCCATCTGTAATGGACTCAACAGCGGAGGGTCTGTGGTTGGGTTTGGTGGCTGCAGTGCTGTAAACTGGAGAGGAGCCAGTGCAGAGTCCGGGTGACCAGGTAGGAGACTTCTTCTGTGAGCCAGACAAGATGGTGATTCAGGTGTCAGGACGCTGATGAAGAAAGAAAGAAACGAACAAGTCGAGGAGAAATTTTGGAGGCAGAAGAATCAGTAGGGCTTCAAGATAGAATGGAGTTTGGGCCAATGGTCAGTGACATAGCCACAGAAGACTAGAGTGGAGAATGAAGCGTCCAGCTGATAAGAAGAGGGGCATATGCACAAGAACACCCACACTTGCAGATAATACCCACTTGACCTGGCTTCAATGGCTGGATGATCAGAGCTCAACTAGAAGAAGAGAGAAGAGGGGAAAAAAGCGCAATCTAATACAATTTGATGAACTTGACCTACACCTATGGATGCAGTAACTTAAAGAGGGAATACATCTTTATAGCGAGGATCATTCCCACACCCTCGACACACAGGGTAGGCCGGGTTGGGCAACTTGGACATTGGCTACCCAAAATGCGGGGGCTACAAAGGCAAGAAGTGACTGGCTTACAAGCTTTCAAGAAGGAGCCTAGATCCAGAGGGCGGAGGAAGGTAGACTCTCCACTGAGTAGTATCCAATCTGTCTGGGCAGGGCTGATGAAAGGCGATGGGGATAGGACTCTTGAGGTACAATAGTGAATAATTGCTATCAGGACTGACTGTGAGAATTGGAAATGTAAAGGTAGACACTTTGTAGCAAAAGGAGGGGAGTGGTTGACTTTGAAGTCCAGGAGCGGAGGTCCCTGGGACCATCAAGGGAGTGCGGGACCCTACCCAGAGAAACAGTGATGCCAGAGATGGAGACAGAGACAATGATGGGGAGAGATGGATGGAGCGGCTGGGGACTCTAGACCCAGAGAGAGAGAGGGACTGTGTGCTGACGATCAGGGGGCAGACTTGCAGGGTATATACCCTTTGGTTGGTTGATGATGCATAGAGGGAATTGTAACCATGGCAGTGAAACTATACACGATAGGATGAATGTAAAGCTAATGTTCTCCCATGTAAACTATCACATAATTCACAATAAAACATTTAAAAAAAAAAAAAAAAATGGAGTTGAGAGGGAGAGGGAATGCCCGGACTGCCCCTCAGGTTTCTGGTTAGTGTAGTTCAGTGGACAGTGCTGCCATTCACTGAATCCTTAACCACAGAGGAGGAGGAAGAGGGAGGAGCAGGTTTGGACATCTCACGATGAACACACATATGAACTTCTGGTGTCTCTACAGGCCTAGAGCTTAAGAGTTCTGGACTTAAGAGATGTAAATTTAGGAGTTACCAGTTCTCTGTCATGGCTTCCATTATTCACAGATCTAGATTCTGGCTGCTGAACTCTACACTATCTTGAACAATGGTACACACTGGTCTGACTTAAACTGGCTTCAGCAGGACTATTAAGAGTTTTCCCCCAGGACCTATTCAACCTAAGATGAAATGATCTTGATGATTCTTCTCATTATCTAGTCGGTTCATTTTGAGAATGTCATCAACCAAAACCCCAGGGTCTTAATTTCACATCAGTCCCTGGATGGCTACCAACTAAAAGGTTGTAGGTTGGAGTCCACCCAGAGACACCTCAGAAGAAATGGTTCATACAGTCCTGCAATTCCCCTGAGGTCCCACAGGCAAGCGTCCGGATAATATATAAACAGAACACTATGCTGGGACAGAGTAGCCGGGAGATGGGGAAGAAAAAGAAGAAAGTTAAGGAAATGGGTTGGTGTGAGTGCAAGAGGCCGATTTTACCAAAACCCAAGTCACAGTTGTGGAAAACTCAACCTTTATTATTACCTGCCTAGAGCAGGGGATTAAAATTACCTTGAGCTAGGTCCATATATTAGTGTAAAAATCTGTGTCTCTTCCCTCAAAAAAAAAATGTACAAACCCCTCTAGAAGTGATTATAGAAAAACCAATGTGGCAGCTACAATAGAGATGTCCAAGCCCAGGGCCACAGGCCATTGCTCCCTCTTTCCCCTAATCCCAGTATTATTCCACAGAATCGTAGAGCTTTAGAGACGTTCTAGCTACACAACGGCAGAAGGAAGTGGGGGTGGGGGCTGTGATCACCCCCAGGTCCAGTGTTTCAGGGGATGGAGGAAGGAGAAACCAAAGCTGAGGACCATGTCAGGAGTGGGCACCTGGGAATGCGCTGTTCTCCCTTGTCCTCACCCCACAAATTCTCAGCCAGAAGAGTCCAGTGTGTGACGGAAATGAAAGAGAGGCTGGGGTGGGGTGGGGGTGGGGGCCCACAGCCATCTCTCCAGAAACCAGTGTTGTCCAGTGGGGCCCAGCTGCTCCAACAGGCCACATCCAGTGTCTGCCCTGTCTTTGCCCCCACCCTCCCCCAAGGGATGGCCGGAAGAGGTCAGAGAGGATCCCATCCACAGGGCCAGCTGGGTGGGTGGTGGGAGCTTCCAGGAGTAGAGATGGGAGTAGGTACAAGGAGGTGCATGAGAGCATGTCCAGGCAGGAAGGGTGTCGCTCCCTTGGCAGGTGCAATCACAGGATTCAGAGGTGATGGGGGTGACGAGGCGGAGTTCCATCAGTCCTCTCTTTTTGCTTCCCCTGAATTCTCCCTAATGGCCGAATGCTGGGATTCACACTGTGTTGAGCGCATCCTCTGCCAGAAACCGATGCAGCTGGGAAAAGGGTGGTCGCTGCTCAGGCTCCCGGCTCCAGCACCGCAGCATCAACTCATATAGGCCCAGCGGACAGGCAGGGGGCCGGGACAGGTACACCTGTATGGTGACAGGGTGGTCAAAAGGCAGGGGACAGATGCTCTTTAGTCTTCAAGCTGACAGGCTCTGCCCCTCCCAGGTGCCCTGGCCCATCTTCCCTCCCGTCCCTTCTGACCTGCCGGCCTTGGTCCCGGAAGAACTCCCCCGCATTTTCGATGACCTGCTCATCAGTGAGCTGACCAAACGGCTGGGCCCGGCAGAGCATTAGCACCTCCCACAGGGTCACCCCAAAGGCCCACACGTCACTTGCAGTGGTGAACTTCCCCTGGTGCATGAACAGGGCAACAAAAACAGAGAAGGAAGGGATCAGGCCCTGAAGACCACCTTCCTCTCCCCACAGGGAGCTTCAAGTCCACTCAGTACCACCCCAGGATCACCTATCCTTAGCTGGCCCACCTTTCCCAACAAACTTGCCTTTCTCCCAAGGGATCCACTGTCCCCCTTGCTCTGGTCCACTCTCCTTGGTTCTGGCCCACCTCTTCCTTCTACTCATTCTTCTGTCTTCCACCTTCCTTTATCTGATTTCTACCCTATGTCTCCCCCAACCCAGGAGTCCTGGTGTGTCACTGCAGTTTAATATACTGGACCCCAAGATCGGTTTGAACTGCAAGATCGACGGTTCAAATCTACCAGCCGCTCCTCAGAAACCCCAGACAGGGCCTCCATCAGTCAGAACCTACTTGATACCTCATCACACCACCACCTCCCAACTAATCTCTTTCATCTGTGACTTCCTCTCCCCTCATCCTGCTTGCTCTCTATACTCTGACTTCTCCCACACTCAATCTTGGCTCCTGGACCTTTTCCATCACACTGTAGCTTCCTGCTTTTTCCAATTCCTGAGTCAAAAGGAATCAGTCAAAAAAAAAAAAAAAAAATCCATTTTACAGATGAGGAAACTCAGTCCAGAGAAGGTGAGTGACTAAAGGGACCTCAGACTGTGAGGGGCAGCTCCAGAAGGCCAGAGTCCACCTCCACCTGCCCTGCCTCCATCTGGCACTCACCATGAGGATGCACTCCCAGGCCATCCAGCGGATGGGCAACACTGCCCGGCCCTGCACACGGTAATAGTCCCCAGCGTACAGGTTCCGACTCATGCCAAAGTCAGCGATTTTGATCGTGAAGTTTTCCCCAACCAGGCAGTTCCTTGTGGCCAGGTCCCGATGCACAAAGTTGAGTGTGGCCAGATAACACATGCCCGAAGCGATCTGGGCTGCCACGTGCAGCAGCATCGGATAGCTGAGTAAGGGGTGACAACAGTGGGCCATTATGGGGGCAGCCCTACTCCCCCCACTTTACAGATTCCCGTCCAGGAGAGGAAGATGGGGTACCCATGGTCGCAATCCACTTCTCTACTGAAGCCACATGGTAGCTTCCATGTAACATCTCTTTGACACACCTAACCAAAGGCGGCTACCTCTCATTATGCTCCCCAGTCTGGACTCAGAGGGCATGAAGGTCGGAGAAGGCAAAAGAGGAATTCAGGATAGGGTCCCATCAACAACCCCACCATGATCATCTCCAGCCTTTCTGTCAAGTTCTTAGACTGGTATAGTCGAATCTTCCTCATTTCAGACCCCTCTACCTGCCTTCCTTCCACACAGTCCCTTCTTTCTCTTCAGGGTGGGGCAAGGGCAGTGAAATCGATCTCCTTGGGGGGCAGTCAGGGGAAGCCCAGCCCTGGGTAGACAAGTTACCTGATGGTTGGCCCCTGGGCAGCGTCCCCGTCCCCTGGGGCCCCCTCAGCCGCCTTGTCTTCTAGCTGATGGGCGCTAAGGAACTGGTTTAGGTCACCATTCTCCATATAATCAGTAATCATGCAGAGGGGGTCATCCTGCACACACACTCCCAGCAGCCGGATGATGTTGGGGTCCTTTAGCCGTGACATGATCTTCACCTCTTTCAGAAAATCATTCCTGGAGAAGCAGGAAAAGGTAGAGGAGGCCAAGAGGGTGGCCTGCATCTCCCTCCTGCTCATGGTGACTCTGCCACTCCAACCCTCAACATCATGATGCTGGCCTGAGCTCTAAACCTCCCCCAAATGGGGCCGCCTCCTCTGCTGTCATTACGTCCATTCCGGTATAGGGTTTCTGAGGAGCGGCTGCTGAGTTTGAACCGCCGACCTTGCAGTTAGTCCCCACCATATTTCTCTCTAGGTTGCTCCTGCTCTTCAGGGCCTCTCCTCCCCTTCTCCCAGACACCAGCCCTGCTCCTCACCTGGCATTCTTAGTGGCATCTGCCCGTAGGATTTTGACAGCTACCAACAAGGGGTGTCCCTTTCGCACATTAAGGGGGAAATCAAGACTGACTAGATCTTGAGGACTCTCTACCTCACACAGGTGCACCTGGAAAAAGAAGGTCATTTGCAGTAGTCACCAGGTCAATGGGATAACACCGTCATAGACAACTGAGGGGGTCTGGCCAAAGGGGATGTGTAGGCATGGACAACAGAGCCCCAGATCAGGTCAGACAATATTCATGGCTGGACAGGGGTTCTTACCTCCCCAAACTGGCCCTCACCAAGCTTCTCCTTGAAGCGGAGCCGTGACCGAGGGAAATCCACTCTGGGGGGCCCATCCCCGACCGCTCCTGGGGGCAGTGCGGGCACAGCATAGGTGTTGCCCCCAGTGACTCCCTGCAGGGTGACAATGTCAGCCTCGGCATAATGGGGGACGCTGTTCTGGGAAGGAGGGGGCAGAAGTGGGGCACCCGGCTTCTCAGGTTCCATGTAGTCCCCATTGCAGGCTGGAGGTTCGGGGAAAGAAGAGAGGACGAGGGGTTAGAAAAAGTACAGTAGGCCTGGGTCTCCCCACCCAAGCCTCCCAGAGGCCCCATTTCTCTCAGCTGATGAGATGTATCTTTCCTGGTATTCCACCCACTAACCTCAAAACAGAAGACACTGGCATGGGATGGTGGTTAGCTGTTTCAGACAGAGGCTTCAGGGCAATGGAAATGGTTATGCAGTCTAATTCTCTAAAGAACTTCCATAGCCCAAAAGACCATGAGTTAAGTCTTGGCTGTAAAAAGAATCCCTCTAATCTCCATCAGAAGAAGGATGGCCCCAACCATCCATCCATTCACTCTTCACATTCCAAACCTTTGTTCCCTCCCTTTCACTTAACTCTTCTGCTCCTTGCTTTCAGCCACATTCTACCATAGTTACCCAAACCCTCCCTGTTCCAACACACCAAGCTCAAAGACAAGCAGAGACAGGGGCACACAGAGAGGAGTAGAAGGGAACAGTTTCTCACAATCCTCACAACAAGGAGTCTACAGACTTGTCCTGGGGAGAGGAAAACAACAAGAAGGCAACACCAAGGAGAGGAGGAGCAGACAGAAAGGGCAGGGGCGTGAGCCTTCACCTCTGAGACTGCAGAGAGAGGACACGCAGGGGGAGGGGACAAGCGCCCAGGGTGAGAGGCCCTCCTCCTCGTAGCTCTAGAGAGAGGGGAGAATAAAGGAGGGGTTATAAGAGAGACTGGGGCCACCACAGCAACCTCCTCCCTGGCTCTGGAGAGCTGCAAAGATGGGATGGAAGAGGAGGAGATGTACAGAGCTGAGAACCAATAAGCTTTCTATTCCTACGCTCAAGGGAGAGGCCTCAAAGAGGAGCAAGAAGCAGCAGAGGAGAGCTAAGGGCACAGAGCTTCCTCCCCGAGAGCTCAGGAGAGCAGAAGAGGCTCCAATTATGAAAGTGCAAGGCGTGAGGACTTTCCCTGCCCCATGGGGGTCTGGGGAGTCTGGTAGAGCCCAGGGGAAAAGGGGCTTACCCTGGGTGTTGGTGGGTTTGGCCCAGGCGGGTGTGGGGGGGCCCGGGCCTCGAGGGGGACGGGCGTAAGTGGCCAGAAGGAGACGGTAGGCCGGATTGGAGAGCAGCAACGCTGTCGGGAGAAGGAGGGGGGAGACACGGGGAAGGGATGAGACTCAAGGCTAGACAGACAAGGAGACCCAGAATAGGGCAAGACCAGGGCTGATGGGAAAGAACAAGAAGGAACTGGTGATGGACAGCTATATGGAAAACAGAAAGAGGGATGAATGGAAAGTAGATAGTTGGGTAGATGAATGGACAAACGTATATATATATATAGATGTTGTTGTTATGTGCCATGGAGTAGGTTCCGACTCATCTTGACCCTGCACAGGGTTTCCGAGGCTATAAATCTTTATGGGAGCAGAACGTCTCATCTTTCTCCCATGGAACAAAGCTGGTAGTTTCGAACTGCTGACCCTGAGGTTAGCAGCTTGATTTGTAACCACTATGCTACCAGAGCTCCATAGATAGATAGATAGATAGATAGATAGATAGATAGATAGATAGATAGATAGATATGATTAATGGATAGGTGATGAATGAAGGAATGAAGGATGGTTGTTTGGAGGATGAATGGATGGATGATGCAAAAGATGGATGGCTGAGTCGGATGGTGGATGGACAAATATATGTATGTATGGGTGGATGATAAATGGTGGATGGATGATGAATGGATGAAGGATGGCTATGTGGATGGATGGATACTGAATGAAAGATGGATGGATGGGTGAGTAGATAATGGATGAACAAATGTATGTATATGGACAGCTAGGTGATGAATGGATGGGTAGATGGATAGATGGAACAAACATGGCAAGTCTAGGAAAAAGGAGAGTGAGGTGCTAGGGAGACACAGCAAGAGAGTATAATAGAGAAGACAGAGAGATGTATATGGGACAAAGAGACAAGACTGCTGAGGATTATGGGTAATACTTGGGAAATTGTTGACGGAAATCATATGGCAAGGACATGAAATAATACAGAGGGTGACCAGGGGCACAGAAATAGGAAAGTGAATTAAAACTGGGGAGAACCACAAAAGAAGGGAATGGGAAAGGAAAAGAAAAGAAAACAGTAAGAAAACTGGCAGACAGAGAGGACAGAGGTGGGAGTGGAACAAGGCAGGTCTTACCAGAGCTGTTGGGAGCAGAGTGGGGTGGATTTCCACGAGGCCGTGGCTCCTGGTAAGGGGGTGGTTCTCGAAGACCTGGGCGGTTGTTGATGAGGATGGTGTCACCAGGGACAGAGAGATGAACTGTCAGCTCCTCTTCTAACACCCGGCGCTCAGCCTTGTTGTGGGGAATGGAAAATGTTAGCTCTGCTACTGCTTACTTAGTACATACTTCCTGGTACTGTGTGAAGTGCTGTACCTGTGTTCTTTCTTTAGTCCTCCCAACAGTCTTCACCTATAACTACTATTAGCGGCATTTCACAGGTAAAGACACTGAGGCTCAAGACTAGAGGCATTCCAAATCTAATTATGTGGCTGTGGCTGTGTACCATGGAGCCGGGTCCCACTCATAGCGACCCTGTACAGGGTTTCCGAGGCTGTAAATCTTTACAGGAGCAGAAAGACTCATCTTTCTTCCGCAGAACAGCTGGTAGTTTCGAACTGCTGACCCTGAGGTTCACAGCCCAATTCATAACCACTACGCTACCAGAGCTCCAATTACCAACCTTAACATGTATCACTATGATTGGACTGTCACTCAGAACACAAGGGTTTGGGGTGTGCCACACTTCTTCCGTTTACCCCCCCTCCCTCCATACTCTCTGCCCTTCTCCAATCTGCTTCTGTCCCAAGAGGCTGATCAGTGTGGTGTGTACCCAGCAGGCTCCTGGTTGGGTTTAGTCAGACAGGAGCCCCAGCAGGTATGGAAGGAAGGTAGAAAGCGAACTCGGGATAGTTAGTCCCCTGGGTGGTGGACTCGGGCTAGCTGCATCTCTGTACCAAAGCCCACAGCACCTCTCAAGGTGCCCTATCCATGGTTCTGATAGCTGCCTGTCTTGTCACCCTGGGACACTCAGAGATGGTCCCAGCTCTAGAGTGATGAGCCCTGGATACTACACTGCAGAGGCATTTCCATGTGTCCCTACCCACTCCCGTGTACCTGGCTCTTTACTAAATTCTTCCCTGATGAGTCTCATCTGTGCCCTGTATTCCATACTAGCCCTAATACAGGCGTCCAGACATAATGCTGATCTCACCTTGGCCTCACTCTCCCCACCCGCATCCTGCCTTCATCAGGCTGTCCCATCCACTGTTGGCCCCCAGCCCCCAACCAGCAATGCCCACCTTGCTTAGGAGCCTACGCCAGTGCAGCCGCCAAAGCATGAGGGCGATGATGAGCAAGAGCAGCAGGATGATGGCCACCAGGCAGCCGATGAGGATGGCAGTTGGGCTCCCCTCGGCCTTGGCCACAGGTTGCTGGCCCCTGGGCTCCAGTTCTGGTGAATGCAAAAGGGTCAGAACCACAGGAAGCTTCCCACCCAGCTCTGAGTACGGGAGACCCAGGGAGGAATGGTAAAGTGGAGTACACAGCCCAGAGAAGGTTCCAGAGGCTGCTCACCCAAGGTGCTGAAGTTGGTAGGAGGTGGGCCCGGTGGCCACCAGGGAGCTGGCGGGAAAGTGCCCCCCAGAGCTGGAAATGAGTCATTCACAACATCTGGGGTGAAAGAAAAGAGGAAAGTAGGAAGTCAGATAAGGAAATGAATGAGGGGCAGACTTGCATGAGACCCGAGGAACTGAGTTGGTGGGCAGAGCAGTAAGGCTCGGGTAATGTTCAATACAACTATATATAACTGGCTGGTCAGACTCCAGATAATCAAAAGTGATGTTGGGAACAAAATCCCAGAGATCCCTTCTTATGCCAGATGTTAATCCCTCAGTGCTGGATTGTGGGGAAATGGAGGCTCCTGAGAGGGTACAAGGGGAGGGTCCTGTGTATCAGGAAGCTTGGAGAAAAGGCTATTTGCCAACAGAGGAGAAGTATTTCTCCTGTCTCAGTATCAGGCCTGAGGGCTCATAAAGGAAAGACAGACATCTACAGGGGACCTAGAAGGGAGGGGTTCCGGCTAGTTCCGGCAACCCTGGTTGTAGAGATGATGTCAGGCATGGCTATTTGGAGCACGCAGAGATTGAGGTGTGGTGGAGGGGGGATCCTATCAGCCAGCAGTCTCAGAGGCTAGGGATGGGCATGACCAGGGGCTTACCTGAAATGAAGGCAATCTCACTGAAGAGTAGCCAAGGTCCCGCAAAGAGGAAACGGCACTGCAGGAAGCGGCCCACACGGCCCCCCAGGGGCACTGAGACAGCCCGGGCTCTGGGATCCCCGAGGCTGCTCCCCAGGGCATGGCGCACAGGTTCCCCCTCCCAGGCCAAGGCAGGGCCCCGCTTGAAGCGACACTCCACCCCGCCAGGCAGACGGGCTCCCAGAGTGTGCATATTGTTGCAGTGGACCTAAGGGGACAAGTAGGAGGGACACAGGATCAAGACCAGATGCACACAGCGGGTACCCACCTTGGCCTCAGAACCCACCTCTGAGAAACCAACTCACTCACCTCCATGGCCTGGAAGACCCTCAGCCTGTCAAACTCAAACCCCATTTCCACATAACCACTGGGGAAGCTGTGGTTATTCCATCCCACGTAGTCATAGCCCGGCCAGACTCGAAGCTCCTGGCTCTTCCTAAAGTCATCCAGCCCCACTACACCGTCTGCCAGCTGGCCCAGACCTCCATACTGCAGCCTGGCCAGAGGAAGACCAAAGAAGACGAGGTTGAAGAGGTTACCATTCTGGTACACGCCCGCCACACACACACACTCACACACTGGCCTAGCCCCATCTACAGGCCCTTTTCTTACCCAACCCACTTTTGTCCCAGGACTATCACAGGTACTTTGCAGATTGAACCACCTGTAAGGCTCAATCCAGTCAATGATGTGGTTATCTAGTGTGGCAATTTCTCAGAGGTGTGTTTAGAAAAGAGACACCTTTTTCTAATTTGCACCAATGTGCTCTATGGGCTAGTGGTGGCCTTGCCATTCCTGGTTCTGTCCCTTGAGGTCCCACCTAGCCCAACCCTGTTTCCAATTTGTCTATCTCATTGCCCAGAGCACCCTCACCCTCACTGTGACTCCCTCCCACCCAGGCCCATGTCTTGCGGGGTTCGCTCCTCTCACCCGCCAACAGTGTGTCCATCGTAGGTGGAGTCGTTGAAATGCACAGCCTCAGCGAGGTACATGGTCTGCCCCACGGGGGCTGTGTACGATAGGAGTCCATCTGGGCAGGGTGGGAAGAGGCTGTTAGAGGAGCAAGTGAACCCTCTGTCCCCCACGCTGCATTGGCCTGGGCAGGTTGCAGACCCTTGCCTCACACTGCCACAGGCCTTCTGACAGGAGGCCATGATGGTCAGCTACCTCCTCACTGGGAATCACTGCTTCTCAACAGGAGAAGGGGTCTTGGATGCCCTTCTCTCCACTTCCCACCCCCACTCCCCAGAAGAGATTCTTGGGGCCGTAGGACTCACCACTCCAGAGGCAGCCATAGAGCTCTACCCGAAGGCAGACACTCATGACCCGGTCAGCCCGAGGGTAGAATCGAACCAGTCGGGCCACCATAGGGGGACCAAGGTCCTTCAGCACCACGCCCCCAGGGTCCTCGTTCCCTGAGATCACCTGTGGGCCAGGAAACAGGTGAATGGGTGAGATCTAACTTCTCAGACACCAGATGTTCCCTGGTGGGGCTCAAAGCAGTCACAAAGAGACTGTGAAGGGCAGCATCAAGCGGACAAGGTTGTGGGGTGCAGCCAGGTTCTGACAGCATCCTCATCTCTCTAGTGTCAGCTCACTCCTCTCCTGGCCTGGCTCCATCCAGTACTCTCAAAGCTCCTCAGCCCTGCTGAGTGGTTCATTCTACCCAATCCCTCCCACCAGCCTGGCATCCCTGCCCATTTCCTCTGTTCATTCAACAAACATTGACTGCACCCCACTCTCTGCTAGGCATGTCCCCAGAGTTAACATCAGGCCAGTCCCTCCCCTCACAGGCCTTATATTCCAGTAGGAGAAACAGCTGGGAAGCACAAGAGGCAGGAGAGAGCAGAGCAAGGGAAGCTGAGCGGTCAGAAGAAGTTCTGAGGAGATGACATGGGGGTGGGAGGGACGAATGGAGGGAGAGAGAGCCTGTGCCCATGGGAGGAGGCGTCTTCCAGGAATAAGAACAGCAAGTAAAAATGCTCCAAGCTGTATGAATGAGCCCTGGCATGTTCCAGCAACCCCAAAAACACCGGCAGGGCCAGTGAGGAGCAAGAAATGGAAGCAGAAGAGTGGTGGACAAGAGCTAGGTCAGGCTAGGCTTCTATAAGGAGCTCAGCTTTTGTTTTGACAATTGGAAAGCCAGTGGAAGGGTCTGAGAAAGGTTCAACACTTATAGGTGACAATATGACTTCCAAGAGACAAGCAGAGCAGTCTGGAGATGACTGCCAACATCTAGCCTAGGGCGGTGGAAGTGGCGAGAAGCAGATGTATTTGGGAACTATCACGGGGCTGCTTGGCAAGTAGGAGGTGAGAGAAAACGAGTAGTTGGGGATATCACCTTAGCTTTATGGCCTGAACAACTGGGCAAATGATGTTCATTATTATACCCTGAGCTGGCGAATGCGAGGGCAGGAGCACGTTTGGATGGGTGGGAATTAAGTTCAGCTTGGGAAGTTAATGGTAAGTTTGAGACACTGTATAGAACCTAAGTAGAGAGGTCCAGAAAGTGGTCAGTTGTGCAGGACTGGATGGTGCTTAGGGGTTGGTATAAAATGGGACGTCATCCATGTTTGCAGTAGTGCTGGAGAACAGAGGAGAGCTGACCTTCCCCGGCTTTCCTGCTGCAGCCTCACCTCCTGACCCCAGCGGTCCCTCCAGTCCATCCAGCGGTGGCCATCCCGGGAATAACGCAGGCGGTAGCTAGGAGAGAACTCCTTGCCTAAGCCCCCAGCATGGCGTCCCTGGGTGCCCACCAGAGCCACCAGATGCAGTTGCCGCAGATCCACTTGCAAGTATTCCTCCTCCTTGGGAAACACTGGTGATGCTGGGCACCAGGCTCCATCCCCATCACTGCTCTCCAGCCTGCAAGGGGGAAGGAGGTCACAGGAATGTCGGGGGTGCCTCTCTTGGACTCTTTCTCTAGTAGTTAATGCCCCCTGGAATGTATAGATTTCATTAGCATAGATCCTCTCAAAAAACAATTTGATCTGAACAGAGGAATTAGAAGGGCAAGTAGAGGTCCTCGGAGATCTCTCTGGGGCAGCCCAGGTGCTCTGGGTACCTGCTGTGGCGGGCAGCGGTGGAGTCTGACCAAGCACTGGAAGCAGAGATGTCACTGTCGGGAATGGTCCGATCCTGCATGCCCAGGGCATAGCGGCATTTGGCTGGGTGGACACAGACATATGGAGGGTCAAGGCCCCCAACTCTCTGTCTCCCAAACCCCACCCCTCCAGGATCCTAGATCCAGGCTCCTCACCAGGGTCAAAGTGTCCCTTCATGTCAGCATTTCCGGTTGCCACCAAGAGCAGCAGCAGTGGTAGAGATGAGAGGGCCCCAGGCCCCATAGTTCCTGATCCCTGGGGCCTAAGGCGGTGGGGGCAGCATCTCTGCAGGAGACAAAAGGGGTGGTAGCAATCCAGGACAGTGGAACAACAGCCAACAGCAATCGAGACAGAACGGGCTGCTTTAGGGATGACAACAGCAGTAATTATTTAACGCATCTGCTACACTTTTAGAATGCTTCCCATGAGCCAGACACTGGGCTGGACCCTTAAATAGAACCCATAATCCAACCCTACCAGGCACCTTGCAAGGTATACTATTACTATCCACATTTATCACATGATTAAAACATGGCAGAGATGAGTGAAATAACTTGTCTAGAACCCCACTCCCCCGAACAAAAATACCCCATAAACAAGTGCTTCAAACAAATAACAGATCTGCAAAACAAAGTTTCTACCACAGCTGACTGGAAAGAGACTCATAATTGTAATAAACTAAGGCTTCTTACAAGAAACAGTGAAAACAATCCCATGGAGAAATGTCCAAAGGACAAGTTCATAGAAGAGCAAAGCCAACTCACCACCACCATTTTTTTTTTTTTTTAATACTCAAATTCATCAGTCAGGGAAGTACAAATTAATTAGCAGTGAGATTATTTTATACATCAGATTGACAAAGTATTTTTCAAGGCTGCAACACCTATGTTGTTGTTATCATTAAGTGCTATCAGGTCAGTTCCAACTCATAGTGACCTTGTATAAAGTTTCTAAGGAGCAGCTGGTAGGTTTGAACTGCAGACCTTGCGGCTAGCAGTACAATATTAATCGTAAAATACCTCGGGTTGTTGTTAAGAGTCAGCCAGTCAGTTCTGACTCATAGCAAGTCTATAGAGGGATTTCCAAAGAGTGGCTGGTGGGTTTGAACTGCTGACCTTGCGCTATAAAAACCCAAACCACTGTCATTGAGTTGATTCTGACCCATAGCGACCCGGCATAGGGTTTCTGAGGCTGTAAATATTTATGGGAGCAGAAAGCCTCACCTTTCTCCCACAGTGGGTTTGAACTACTGACCTTGCAGGTAGCAGTCCAGCACCACCAGAGCTCCTATTGGTGGTATCGAGTGACCCAAAGGGAACTGCCACGCCTTAAGGCAGAAACGCAGAGTGCTAGCTATCACCTAGCTAGGAAGAAGTCCAGTAATATCTGTATTTATTTTAAATGTACATCCTCTTCAACCCAAAATTCCCCTTCTAGTACTCTTATCCAAAGGGGGAAGCACCAGGAGGTAAGAGCAAATAAAAAACAACAACAACAACAAAGTTGCCATCAAGTGAAACCTGACTCATAACAGTCCCACGTGTCCGAGTAGAACTGCATGCCCCAGGACTTTTTATGCTAATTGTTTTAGAGGTAGATGGTTGTTGTTATTGTTAAGTCTCATCGGGTTGGTTCCAACTCATACAGATCCTGCACAGGGTTTCCAAGGAGCAACTGGTAGATTTGAATACCAGGACTTTTTGCTGAGGTACCAATCTTTACATTAGCAGCTGAGTGTATTCACCACGTGTGCCAAGCCTGCTGGTCTACTTAAAAAAATCAACCATTGAAACAGCAGCTATGGTTTTCCATTCAGCAATACGTTTCTGACTCTGGGATTTCCTTGTATGACTGTTGAATATAAAAAGCAAGACACAATAGGAATGATCCCATCTTTTGCAAACAGAATAAATAAACCCCTGTATTTGTATGTATTATTGTTAAGTGCTGTTCAGTCAGTTCTAATTCATAGCAACTCTGTGTAGGCTTTCCAAGGTTTGAAATCTGCGAGGGGGCAGAAAGTCTCATCTTTCTCCCAAGGAGCTGTTGGCAGGTTCGAACCGTGGACCTTGTGACTTGCAGTCCAGTACTTACTATGTATATATATATATACACATACATACTGGTTGTATAGTTTTTCTAAAGTCTGTCATATATGGTAACATTTATGTATATAAAGTTATGTATACAAAGAAATTCCCACTTAAAAGGACAAGCAAAGACTCTAACATCCTTTTGATTTTTTTAAAGTAAAAATGTTTCAGGGAAAGTTGGACAACTGTTTGTGAGGGTATGACAGAATTAAGAATAAGGTAAGCCTGGACCAGCTGAGCTCAGAGTTCTAAGAGAAGTGTGGGACCCAGCCTCCCTGTCCTCCGGCCCTGCCTGGCCAGCAGCTCAGAGTCTCAGCACTGGGAGCTTGTGAGAAATGCAGAATCTCAGGCCTACCCTATACCTGAGAAACCAGAGTCTGCATTTTACATCAATCCCCAGGTAATATGTGCCTATTAAAGTTCAAGAATCCCCACCTTCTTCCTCACAAGGGTCCAGGCCGCTTGCTCAACTAAAACTATTTTAACCGTCTAATCTGGTGTGGTGCTGTAGTATAAGCACTGAACCACAAGGTCGGCAGTTCAAACCTACTAGTCGCTCCTCAGAAACCTTCTACAGAGTTGCTATGAGTAAGAACTGATTCAACAGTACTTAACAACAACAACAACTTGTTACACAAACTCAGTTACCTCTCCTGCCAAATCCAAGGAAAAGCTATCCTGGCCTGTCCCTATCCCAGAGGTTGGCACTGCGTTCTCCAATTCCTGGATCCCCACCCCCACCCCGTACCCCATCCCACCGGTGTTACCAGGTCTCCTGGCTCTTCTTGCCCTCCCTGATACCCAGACATCTTGCCCTCAAGTTCCCACATTCTCAAGGTGGCTGCCTCATCCTAGGGCTGTGGAAAAGACTGGGTTGCCTTGGAGATGAGGGCGGATCTAAAAACAGGGGAAGCCAGGTCACCCCAGGAGGTAGGAAGAGTGGGGAGATACTCCCCCATCCCTTTGTCCTTCTCCAGCTGCTCCCACAATGCTCTAGGGCAGGAATGTAAGAGGCAGCTGAGACCCCCACAGCTCTGAAGCAGCAGCTGAGGGGGATGACTGAGTTACGGGGGGCACCTGATCTCAATGGAGAGCTAGACTCCTAAGGCTGAAGCCTTAGGTCCCTTGGGGGTCCTCTGGTACAGGAAAGCAGGCTGCTGGAGTCCCAGGAGGCTGGCCCGGAATTCCTGGGTGCTACTCTCCACCCCCACCCCTCTCAGAAACAGCGGGGCCCTTGTTCCCCAGAGTAACCTTCATGCCTACCCCAGATGAGTCATCAGAGCCAGACAGAGCCGTGAAGAGCCCAGGGCAGAAATACAAAGACAAGCAGAAGATAGGAGGCAGGCGGAGACAGAGCAAGAAGCAGAACACGAAGCCAGAGGTAAATAGAGCAGACTCAGACTTGGAAACACTGGGCACAGAGCCAAGCCAGATACTCAACAGAGACATGGCAGCAATCTGTTCAACACCCCCAAACACCCTATCTCTCTCCACAGTCATATGCATGGGTCGACCCCACAGTATGACTCGTGGAAGGCAGGCCCTAAGACCTGTCCAACCCCACCCTGCCTCATTACAACCAATTACAAGCCAGGGGTTGGGACACCCGAAGGGCCCTTTACCCTCCCCCATGGCAGACAACAACCCCCACACAGCTCTGCATATATACACAAGGTAGACACACACACTCACAGAGCAGGCAGCAAACACTGAGGCTAAATGTAGCACCAGGGAGGCCATACATACATATAACTCTCAGTGTCTCAAACAATCTTCTCACAGACTTTCAGAAACATACTTGCATGTGACAACCACATACATCAGTTACACACATAGACTTCCAAACAGAGCAAACAGACGCTCCTGCTCACATCAGCTCCATCCACACCGCGCATTCCTCAAAGTCCAGTACCATTATTTAGTGAGCAGTAATCTGCAGACACCTGTGTACATGAAATGACAGATACCACATGCTCCTATGATCAGAGGGCCATGTGGCACACACACAGGCCCTCAGACACTGGATCCCAAGAGAGCCAGGGCCCACCCCCTAACACACATTGCTGACCAAGCCAGAGGGAAATAAAAGAAGTGAGGAACAGATGGATTCATGGGTGGGAAGAGTGGTAATAAGAAGAAAAAAAGCCATCTCTATTTCCCTCATTTCTTCTGCTTCTCCCACCTTTCTCCTCTCCACCAGAGTTCTGGAAACATCTACATCCCTGAGGCAATAGTGGCTCAGAGGGCAAACTAGCTAGGGATGGAGGTGCTGAAAAGGAATGTCCACCCAGCTAGGGACCTGTGGTGCAAAGGCTTGGAGGGTGGGAAGGAGAGGGGGTTTAAAGGCGCTTAGAGTGGTGTTTCTTGAACAGTATGATTATCTTATGGCAGAAGCAACTGACCATCAGCGAGGACCAATGGCGAGCGATCACTGCAGGCCAAGGTGCCTGCCAGAAGTCGGCTGTTAGTTCCTCTGTCTACTGGGCTGTGGCCAGGCTTTCCAACTGAGAGTTGACTGGGTGGAGGCTTAGCGGTTAGTAGATGTCCCTAGGGACTAGCCAGGTGGGAAAGCAGGCCCCGTTCTCCAGGAGGAGGAAAAGAATGGTTCAGGGAGGGCTACATATGGGCACCTGTCCCCCTAGGGATCAGTGCCTAGTCTATGATGACTAAGGCGTCCTTCCTCAATACTGGAACACCCTCTTTCTCGGAAGTGAGAGAGTTCCCTTCATTACAGACAGTAAGCCACAACATTGGGCACGCAAAGAAGGGCAGACTTAGAAGAGCCGGCCACCAAAGACAACCCCAAATGTCTAGCACCCCCCCATCCTGCCTCACCCTGGGCCCCAGGGCCCCACCTTCTTTTATTCAGCGACCCCCTCCAGGCAGGGGTCTCCTGCCGCTCTTCCTACCTCTCATCGCTCTACCCTGCCGACCCAGGCGTCCGAGCCGGGAGTGGGACCTCCTAGGCGGGCGGCGGGGCCAAGGGGAGGGGGAGGCGGAGGAGCCAGGAGCCGCGAGCGCTAGGCGCCGGCGGGGCTCTGGTGTCGGGAGGCGGCTCCCGCAGCAGCTGTCGGGGGCCTGTTCCGGGGAGAAGAGCCAGAGCTGGGACGGCGCTAGGCACCGCCTCCCCGGCCTCGGTCCCCCGCGCTCCCGCCCCTGACTCGCTCCCTCCCTCCAGCTTTCCAGCCCTGCGCTCCCGCTCCCCTCCTCTCGGCCCCCTCCCGCTCCGTGACTGCCCAGCCGCTCCCACGCCCGGCACCACCCTCAGGGATCGCGCTCTCCTACGGCCCGCCCCGACTACCCCGCACTTCCCCGCGCTCTGGGCGCCCCCCAGGTAACCCCCACTGCTGTACCCCCACTGCACTCTCTCCTAGGCAGCCCAGCCGAGCCCGCGTCATGCCCATCCCCCTCCACTGTAGCAGCCCCACCCCACCCCCACCTCCACCCCCGCCCTAGAGCCCCACTACTTGAGCTACCCAAGCTGAGGGCTCATGGGCGGTTTGCAGCCTCAATCGGACCTCACGCTCGGACTCTTACTGTTCCTCCAGTGAGGGGGATCGACTCTTATCCTGAAAAGGGGGAGGTGATGGGGAGCAGCCTCGGGGTACAAAACAGGTTCCCACAAGCCCGGGGCTGGACCCAGCAGAGGAGTTCGGGTGGGGAGAGGGAGCATGGCTCACCTGTCCAGCGAGGCTCCCGAGAGCGCTCCTATTACACCACAACCCGTTGCTTCTCTGGCTCTCCGGTCTTCGATACCCCAACATGGAATTACTCGAGTCTGATCAACAACCCCACAGTCTTGTAGCCCCTTACTCTCTCCCCTCCAGTTCCATTCTTCAACTCCACAGGGCACTCCTCAGTTTTCTCACGGACCCTGGGATCCAGACTCCTAGGCCTGGTAACCCTAGGCTCTCTCTGCTCAAGGACTAAGAATCCTTAGGACCTTTATCCCTCACAGTCAGCCAGATCCGGCCTTGGCAGGGACCTGGGGGTCTGTTCAAGCAGGACAGGCTGGAAATGGAACCCTGGACCAGGTAGGTAGTGGGGGAAAGGAGAGAGGCACAAAGCAAAACAGACACAGTCACCAAGAGAAGGGGGAGAAAGAAGTTTGCACGGACGGCAGGCCGAGGTGGGGGAATTAGAGCTTGTGGTGGGGAGTGTTTTGCCCTTCCCATCTCCTCTGGGACCTACTTTGTCCCTCTCCCACCTCTCCCCATACCACCTACACCTGCCAAACACCAAGATAATGTCTTCGTTCCAAGGCAGCTCGCCACCCTACTACACCTCACACCCTGTGTGCAGTTCCGAGAAACAATCCCAAAAAAGAAACACGAGATCCCAACCAGACAAGTACACAAAACACTACCAGGAAGAGGCTGGCCTTTGAGAAAGGCCAAGGCACACATGGGCACGAACTCTAACCCATGGTTAACACCCAAACCCACTAACAGACAGCCCAATGGTCGCTCAGGGAATGCTCTCTCCCAGCCTTCCCATTCCACCAAAGCCCCAGGGTTCCTCCGGAGCTCTTACCCCTCTAGAGACAGCCGCTGGGAAATCTGGGCCCCCGAGAGGCTGGGCCGGGGGTGGAGCCAGGCCGGAGGTGGAGCCAAGGCTTCCCGGGTAACCTCACCTGGACGAACTCGGCCCCACCTTCCTGGGGCTGGGCTCTGAGGGAGCCCGGAGCTGGCGGGCTAGGCTGAGTGGTGGCCAGACACCTCGGGAGTAGGGACCGAATCCCTCACACTCCAGTGGGACATTCCACACCCAGACCCGCGACAGCTCTAGCCAGGTGGCATGGCGGCGCCAGACAGTGGAGTCCACTGGGGATATCGAAAGAAGTCCCAAAGCCCCAAACCCTTGCTCCCTCTTCTTACTCCCCTAGGAAAAATTCCTGGTTGGTGATGCCCACCTCGCCCCAGCCCAAGGCTGGAGGAGTGGGAGGTATGCAGGGCTGGGGCCCTGCGGAATCAAGTGACAGCGGAAAGGGGGCTGGAGCCGACTGGAATGCGGGGCTCGGAGCCGAGATTCTCTGGGGCCGGAGAGGGAAATCCCAGCCATCCAGGGACCTCAGAGCAGCGCCCAAGACCAAGCGTGGTCACCCGCCCATCTGTGGCCCCCGAGCCCATCTCACACCTCCGGAGTCACTCCCAACTCCATGTCTTTCTGAGCCCCCAAAGAACCCCTTGCCCTTCCCCCATCCAGGGTTTCCCTCCCCTTCATGCCTCTGGCCTAGGCTGCCCTGGAGGGAGAGGAAAGGAGACAGCTGAGAAAATGTAAGGCAAGGCACGTAGGAGAGAACCTGCTCTCGGCCACTGCAGAGAGCCTAACAGGCCCAGAGAGAGAGGGAGGATGGACCAGATGCCCCCCCCACAAACATGCTAGTTGAGCCCCTTTTCCTGAGGTGCAGCTGCCTCTGGGGAAGAGCTGGGTCAGCAGCTGGAGGGAGTGAGAAAGCTGGTGGGGTGGAGACTGGACAAGGCTTTGCGCAGGAGTCAGACTGACAGCACTGGATACAAATGGGAAACTGAGGTCCAGGAGTGCAAGGAGGAGAAAGGGATGACGTAATCTGGGAGAAAGATGATACAGGAGCTCAGCTGTGGATAGCCTGGGGGATGGAGAAACAAGGGACCAGGGACCAGAGGAGGGACGGGAAGCTGATGGTCAGATGGTGACAATGGTGATGGGACCCAGAAAGAGGAGAAGGGAGACTGAGGTCAAAGCTGCAGGAAACAAGGTGAAAGGAAGGAAAGGGAGGATGGTGCCAGGCACACACAGCAAAGGTGGAAGGAAAGGGCTGGACTAAGTGAATGAACTCCAATGAAGACAAAAGGGGGAGCACTAGGGAAACAAAAACGTCAGAGAGGGAGAAACTGACTGGAACCAAGGAGACCTGACAGGTGAGCAAACTGACCAAAGGGAACAAGAGCTAAGACAGAGAGAAAACATGGAGTTCCAGTGAAACTGAGAGATGTTAAGAAGAGGGGAACTAAGGCACTGAGGTTGAACTGGAGACTTGGGGAGATGAGATGTAAGAGACCAACTGTGGAACAGACCAGGAGTCTCAAGGTGGAATCAAACCTTGTTGGGAAACATCAGGACACAGAGGCCCTAGCCTTCCCCCTGTGGACAATCTAGCCTCTAGCCCCTTTGCAAGATGGAGAGGAGGGGGAGAGTGGTCAGCCCACTCCCTTCCTCCTGCTCAGCCAGGACCCGGTCCCACCCCACAAGGGGAGGGCCCAGCTTCAGTTCCCACTTTTACTCTCCCAGTTTAGCTGGGGCTTCCTCCCACTTACCTCCAGCTCTGGACTCTCCAGGGTCCCGTTCTCCCTAGCCTCGGACCTTTGAGGTTCCAGGCCTGGGGCTGCCGAGGCTGCCTGGCTTTGTCCACACGTCCGGGGCCCAGGGCCCGGGAGCAGCTGCCCGGGCCAGCTGCGGCCGGCTTCACCGTGACCATGGCAACCCAACTTGTTCCCCCTCCTCGGAGCCTCCAGGCCCCCGCAGAGAGGGAGGGAGCAGCTTGGACTCGGAGAAAGGGAGGGGAGGCAGAGATTGTGAACAGAACCAAAGGGAGACCACAGACAAAAACACCCCGGACAAAGGGAGGTGAAGAAGGGGGGAGGGGGGCGGAAAGCAGCGGTGACTAGCAGGGGATGAGAACTTAAGCGATGGACGTTTGGTCTGTTGAAGGGGTCCAGACCAGAGAGGCACAGATGGACTTCAGAGAAGACACAGATTTGAAGTCACTGGTGGTAGTCCTTGGGAAATCTCCTCGGAGTCCCTGACAATTCACTTTCTCCACCCAGAACTTTTGTGCCCTGGTGACTCTGGTTTGTATTGAAGGGGGCAGGGTGGGAGAAAAGTATTAATAAGGCCTCTCATCACCCTGTGATTTAAGCAAAGTACTAAATGGGGAGGGGAGAAAGTAAGACCTTGCCTTCTGAGAGGTGAGGATTAAACTGTTGATCTTGGCAGAATTATATAAGCCCCCAGTTCCCTGGTGGGGTGCAGTAGGTTCAGTGCAGGACTGCAAAGTTGGTTTGAATTGCAAGGTCGGTGGTTCAAACTCACCAACTGTAAAGTTCCCTCACCTATAAAATGGAAATAATAATACTTGCCCTGGAATCTGTTGGGATGATAATATGACATTCCAGTCAACTCTGACTCATGGGGATCCCAAGTATATCAGAGTAGAACTGCACTCCATAGGGCTTTCAATGACCAAGGCATCTCTGGATGGACTCAAACTGCCAACATTTTGGTTCGGAGCCAAGCACATTAACTACTCAGAAACTCCTAATACAAGATAAAGTACAGGCCCATCTGATGGAAGCAACCATTCCTCTGTCATTCGGAGTTCCACTTCCCAATTAATTCTACCCATAGGAGCTCTGGTAGCGTAGTGGTTACGAATCGGGCTGCGAACCTTAAGGTCAGCAGTTCGAAACTACCAGCCGCTCCGCGGGAGAAAGATAAGGCTTTCTACTCCCGTAAAGATTTACACCCTTGGAAACCCTGTACAGGGTCGCTATGGGTCGGAACTGACTCGACAGCACTTAACAACAACAACAACATAGTTACTATTGGAGTCCTGGTGTGGCACCGTGCTAATGTGTTAATGCACTGAAGTGCAAAACTTGTTTGAACTTCAAGGTTGGTGGTTCAAGCTCACCAGTCACTCCTTGGAAACCCTAGACAGTGTAGCTATGGGTCAGAACCCACTCCACGGCACTTAACGACAAGAACAGTAATAGTTAACGTCTAAGGGTTTGCTCAAGGTTGGGCTCTGACATTAAAAGTTATGAAAGAGACACTAGGAAATATGATCCAGCATTCATAGTCTAAAGGTGGTGTCAGGGACATGTGTTATGTAATTGTAGAAGACATGATGATGTGTATCATAGGCAGAACTGGAAGGGGTTGTGGGAATACAGAGCAGAGGCAAGCCAGATCTTCCTGAGTCAGGCAGGAGGTGAGATTGAGGAAGAATTGTGAATGAATTGGAGCGTGTACTGGGCAAGATGAGCTAAGAAAGAGAGGAGGCTAAGAAA